CTTCAAAACCCGCAACCCCCTTCCACCATTGAAGAAAAGAGTTAAAACTTGATAAATTCATAACTCAAGCTACACTCAACGGAATCGAACGATTCCAAAGCCAAACTTGTGTAAAATTTTGAGAGGAACACATTTCTACCCTTATTTTCAAGTGGGGAGAACTGTGTGAAGAGATCCTCCCTTTAGAAAGTGACGTTTTTGAAGCTTTGGTGGGCCATTAGAGGCGGCTTGACTTGCTTTGATGCTTGAAAACGCATCCTAAGAGTCCTTTGAGATCATTTGTGGTAAGTACCCCAACTCTTGACTTGATTTGATGATGGATTAAAAATGGGTATAAATCTTGAATATGTGTGAGTTGATTGAAGCAGTTAGAGGCATGTAATGGTAGTGTCCGTTTGGAATTTAATGTTCACAATGGTGAATGATGATGATTGATCCAATAAAAATTATTATGATAAAGTTTGGTAACTTAGACAAATTTTGATGGATAAACTAGGAGTTCTTGTAAAACAAGGTGTTGAGGAACGGTGTAAATGAGTTATGGATGCCTTGAATCATTAATAATAAGGTAAAAAGAGTGTGTAATGCATATGAATTGAGTGGAAAATCTTGTCTCCCTTTATATGTATTTTCGGCCTAGAGGGAACGATTAGGAGAACGTGATGCTAAGTGATAATGTAAGGTAAATGAGAATTGTATTGGTGTTGAGAAAGGTTGTGTAACCATGGAGTTGATTGGGTGTGATTGAAACACATTGGGTAACATTTTGGGACTTGTGGCCGAACCTATAGTGTGATGGAGGGATTGCAATATATTATTTGTTGTGCTTGTTGTACAAGTTAATTAATGATCATGTGTGTGCGATCATTGTAGGTGGCCTCCCTCGGACACGATTGTAGAGGACTAACTCTTGAAGCTACCTAGTTTGGGAGCTTCGAACAGGTAACCTCTTGGTACTGGGGCTTGTTCCCCTTGTGTGTTCCACCATACCCGTTGAGGGTGATGGTAGGAAATGTATATAAGTAGTGTAGAATAAAATGATCATGCATTTATTATGTATGTTAGTGGTACACTAGATGTACCGAGTCTCTGGCCAGTAGACAGTTTTTGCCTTCGGGCATTTTGGACTTCCATTGGATAGGTCTCTGAGAGGGAGTTCCAGTTGACCCAAGGTCGTGGTGTGTGATCCGGATAGGAGCACACTAGGAAGTCTCGGGTGTATGCAGATGGGAGGGGTACCTTGGTTGATGTTCTAGGAACACGCCTTGGATGAGACCCACAGGCTTATATGCCGAGGATGTTGCGTGGTATTGTAGCTACCATTCCCGCTTCGTTGTATTTTGTATTCCTATATTCCCCAGTTTCTCTAAATCTCTTGCTTTATCCCGTTTTGAAAAGTGGTTATTTTATATTATTTATATGCATCGAAGTGAGTCATTGGGCAGAATTTTCTCCAGAACCTCTGGGTTACTGAGATATATTCGTATATCTCACCTCGTCTTAGGGGCTTTATTTCAGGAGGTAGCAGTGGCACAAGAGCGGCGGACAAGAAGCCCGTAGGATGATTCATTGGAGGACTTGCACTTTTGCATTTTGATGGCCATTTGGCCTAGGCTAGACTTAGGGCATGAACATTCCATATGTACGTAGGAGGAGTTTCATAGTCATATTTGTTCATGTCATTTTGCCCAAGTCTAGTTAGTTGTATATGTCTTTTAAGCTTTATGTTTCAAGTTGTAATTAAAGTATGAAGTTGTAAGTTGTAATATGTAAGTGAAATGTTGTAATTGTACAATGGATACATGATGTAATATGATGGAAGGGCTTTAGGCCTATTTTAGAATTATAATTAATTGTATGTTGAGAAATTGCATGTAAATGGACCTTGGTGATTGAAACAAGTTAAGGATTGATAAAGTGAGCCATATGGTATAAATTGTGTAATAACTATAAACTGAGTTGGGTTGTAAGTGCTCCAAGGCATTGTTGGTCCTTGTGTGTGCCACCCATTGGTTATTAGGTACATTTGAGGCCTCAGATCACATTTGCAAATTGGGGATTTTTGTAAAAACAAAGGAAACTCTGGCGAATTTTCTGTAGAATTGGCTGAATTTAGGCAAACTTCGGGAGAGCATATCTCCCTCCACAGAGGTTTGATAGGGACGTGCCATACGGAATTTCAAAGCTTAAGATGTCCCCTACATTGTGTTAAAATATGAGAAATTTTTGGATTGTACGCGGCCCTATAGAAACCTGCGAACACGGACTGTCCAGAACGCACCTGTGCAGGGGCTGTTTCTGGCAGTTTTTGGGAATTTTATTCCCGCTTCGTTTCTTGGTCAAATTAAGTTTATGATATATCAAATTGAAGCTTGAGGTGTCTAGTTCATGGTATAAAACTTTGAGAGCAATTGAGTAAGTGGTTTTTCTGCACTAATTCTTGGAGTGAAGGATGTTTGGAGCTGTTTTGGGGTTGGTCGGCAGTTTTGCTTGTCCAACTTCAAACGGCGATATCCGGAGCAAACGAAATCGAAATGACTCATGTGATAGTTCATTGGAAAGGTATTTAAGTAAGAAAAAAGATAGCTAAAGGGGAAGGACTAGTTTTGTGTGGTCTGTCCGCAGAAAAATAATAACCGAACCATGTTCTGATGAGTGGAAAACGTAAAATCGAGAAATTAGCTAAGTGGGTTTATGGGAACCCCTTAGTGTCTTGTATTGAGTAAAATAAGATATAAAAATAGTTTAAACAAGAATTCCGCAAGAGTTTACAGTTATGGTCACAACTATTAATTATAACGCTTTTTTATTGTTTTAAATACTCGCATAATAACAGAAAAAGTTTATTCGCATTTTTATAAATGAATTGCTGTGATTGTAACTGCGCTTAATATCATAATTAATGTTAACAATACCAGTGTACAACGGGCTGTTACAAATAGCAAGCTCAATGCTTGGAAGCAGAGGTCCTTATCTTTAGCAGGAAGAGTAATATTAACCAAATCTGTTTTGGAGGCTCTTCCTACTTACTCCATGCAGACTTCTCTCATTCCTGTGGGTACTTGTGATCTTATTGAGCAAAAAATGAGGGGTTTTGTGTGGGGTTTTGATAGGAATGTAAAGAAGGTGCATGCCTTGCCTTGGAACACTGTTTGTAAACCAAAGAGGGATGGAGGCTTGGGCATCAGAAGCCTGAGGCAAACTAATAAAGCTTGCATAATGAAGGCTGCTCATGGTCTCCTTACGAATAAGGACCAACTTTGGGCTAGAGTGTTAAGAAGTAAATATAAGGTGGAAGATTGTTTGATCCCAAATATTGTTAAGAGACCAGGCTCTTCGAACCTGTGGCAGGGGATAACTCGAGTTTGGCCCCAAATACTTGATGGTTCCAGGGTTATGATTGGTAATGGGATGGGTACCTCATTCTGGAATGACAAATGGTTGCCGATTGGTCCCCTTAAAGAGCATACATCCCAGGATATTCCTATTGAGTCTCTGGAGATGAGGTGATGGATATGGTGAGGAAAGATGGAGAATGGAACTGGCTGAAGTTTAGTCACTTAATCTCAGAAGATGCCTTAAGCTATGTAGTAGGAACCTGCCCTCCAAGCTTATTGAATGGGGATGATAGGGTTATTTGGGACTTATCCCATGATGGAAGGTTCTCTATAAAATCTGCATTTGGTAACATTTGTCCAGATTCAAATACGAATGACAACCTTCAGTGGAACATTATTTGGGACTGGGGAGGGCCTCCCAGAATTAAAACTTTTTTATGGCTTGCTCTTGAGGAGAAGTTGCTCACTAATCAGAGAAGGAAGCAAAGACATATCAGATTCTGAAATATGTCCTAGATGCAGTATGTTTTCTGAAAGCTGTATTCATGTCCTAAGAGATTGCAATTGGGCTCGATCTCTTTGGAAAGCTTTTGTTGGGCCTGATAAATGGGATGGTTTTTGCGAACTGCCATTAACAGATTGGATTCAGGCTAATCTGCTTCCCAAAAAGAATTTTTTGGGTGGTGATAGGGGTTGTATCTTATTTGGTATTGTATGCTGGTCACTTTGGAAAGATAGGAATTGTCTGGTTTTTGAAAATCAGATTACAAGTGTGGAAAATCTGGCTAGGAATTCCTGCATTTTTTTGTCTAATTTTATGGAAGCAAATATAATGTACAGGAAGGCAGGAATAGTGAGAAGTCAGAAATCTGAAGTGTTGATTCACTGGTCTCCTCCTCAGGCAGGTTGGATCAAGGTGAATACTGATGGCTCATCCAGGAGGAACAACAGTCAAAGTGGATGTGGTGGGGTGTTGAGAGATGATACAGGCAGGTGGATTATGAGATTTGCTAAGAATTTGGGTAGAGGAAGTTCAATTAAAGCTAAAGTGTGGGGTCTGTATTCGAGCCTCCTTTTAACTTGGAATAAAGTTTATAGAAGGGTGATGCTCGAAGGAGATTCCCAGGTGGCATTTCAACTTGTTAAGGAGGGATGTGCTCCAAGCCATCCTCTGGTGTTTTTGATTCAGAAAATTATAGAATTACTGAGTTTTGATTGGCAAGTGAAATTAACTCATGTATGTAGGGAAGCTAATAGTGTTGCTGATTATTTAGCTGGTTTAGCTTATGACAATGGTTGGGATACTTTTATTTTTTATGATCCCCTGATGGGTGTATAGATTTACTGGGTAGAGACCTAAGGGGTGTTGCCTGGCCTAGAGTGGTCAAAGTGATGTAAATTTTGCTTTGTTTTAGTTTATGATGATATTCAAAAAAGAAAAAATAAAAGAAAACCTCCACTAAATAATGTAATTTGTGGCAGGTTTTATGCCTCCATAATTTTTTATTATGTTTTTCTATTTTGAATTTCTTTATATATATATATATATATATATATATATATATATATATATATATATATATATATATATATATATATATGAAAAATAGCCACCGTCAGACAAAAATAATGCCCAATGTATTTTTTTTCTCAAATGTCACAATCTTCGTTCACTCTTCATTTTTTTTAATGTGCCCTGTCTTTCTCTTTTCTCTGTATTTCTAGCATCCACCACCATGATGAGGAAGATCATATCTTACTGGCGAGAACACTCTGATCTTCAAGCTCTGAGGAGATCGTCGTCTTCACCGTCGTCTTCAAGCTCTGTATTTCTTTCTTTCTTCTCAATTTCTTTTTGTTTTTAATTTAAATTATTTTGGCGATTTTCTTAGCTAAAATTAGGGGCGTTTTGTTTGATTCGTTTTGTAGCAAAGCTAGTATATATCAGTTATACAAAGAGGGGAACCAATGAAGAAGTGAGGTGCAGCACGGTGAAGTTCATGGAGGTTTGAGGTAAGGCCTTAGTTGTGTTCCTACAATTAATTGAGGATTTTGATTTTATAGCTATAAGCTATGGTTTGATGTTCATCTATGTCATGTGTGATTGTTTGACAACGGTTCAATTTTATACATAAATTGTGCAAGTTTAAATTCATTTGACTCAAATTGGAAGAGAAATATACAGTCGAATTTCTTGCGTCTCTTCTCATAGTAAATAAATGTTTCTTCCAGGATCCCGTGGTTCGCTTAAAATTATTCAATTTAATATATATATATATATATATATATATATATATATATATATATATATATATATATATATAAATATATAATTGAAATGCTATCTATTACTTGCAAGTGTCAATTATCTGCTTGCGGTTTCACAATTCTGTTAAATGCCACTTTTATTTTTTATTTTTTATTTTGGTTGTTCTTACCCATTATGAATTTTCAAATAGAAGCAAGAAGAAAAAGAGAGGCCAACGTGCTGTTGGAGGGGATAAGAGTGGAAGAGGGCTCTGCCAATTTAGTATGAAAGGTCTTTAATCTATCCTAATTTGACCAGTTTGTTATTTAAATAATAAGGTTCACTGACCTTTTCTAGTTATTAACTTTTGCTTTTCAAAGTTGCACTTAATGTGTTTGCCGAATATGAGAAGCTAAATCCAATATTTGAAGAAGTGATTTTTAGATGCTGCTGCTCCTCCGATTGACATTATTTTTGTTGGGATCATGGTAATACTTTTCTTACTGGTATTGTTTCTCATTTATTGTTGGTTGTGTCCAGTGTGTGAGAAGGTGGAAAGCAAGGGAAGAACAACTTATAATGAGGTTAGGAAGTTATTCTAAGTCAGTTTTTGCTAAACTGAAATGAAACTTACCTTGGCTTCAGTTTTATATAACAGAGTATATGCACATAAATATGAATATATATCATATAACATTCGTTTTTTTCAATTAATTTCTTAGTACATTTTTTGTCAGTTTTTGAAGAAATTACTTAAAAAAAAACTGCGCTTAGAATTTCCTGAGTTTATATTCATTTGGCTTTGTTCTTCATATTTTCTTGTTTATGAAGTATGACCATGATCTATATGAGTTGCAGTCTTTGACTTGTTACATTCCTATAAGATATTTTCATTTAGAATTCTTCCAGAACAGCCTGTGCTTCATTTATGTTTCTTTTCTGTTTCTGTTATTAAAGAGAAGCCTATATGTTGATGATGCAATATACTCTTCTTTCCATATGCACTTTTCTTTGAGCAGTCCCTCTCTCTTTCACTCCCACACCCTGCATTTTTACACAGCAGCATCATTCTGCTTTCTGCTAACACTTTAGCTTACTCACTTTTCTTTATGGCTCTGATATTTCTCTTTGCTATTTTGTTCTTTATGGCCCCTTCAAGCAATGCCTACTGGCGACCTTCACCTGGCTACTGGCCAAGTTCCAAATTCAGGTCTATGAGCTTTTACAAAGGGTTTAGAAATCTTTGGGGCCCTCACCAAAGCTTAGACCAAAATGCATTAACAATTTGGCTTGATAGAACCTCAGGTCTGAGTCTAATTAGTTTCAATTCACTTTACATGTTTTATCTACTATATATGATTGAAATGTATCACATTTTTTGTTTCTGGTTAACAGGAAATGGCTTCAAGTCAATTAGTCCATTTCGATCCGGGTACTTTGGTGTTATAACGGCTTTCTATGTAATGTTCAAATGATTTGACAAAAGAATATGTTAATTGATGGAAGCTTACACATTTATGTTTGGTTTGTTAAATCATGCACAGTTTATGTAGGATATAATCTCAGTGTATATCCTACAGGCACATCTATATTTCTCTCAGGTAAGGGCAGCAAAAAGTAGCAGAATGAGGACACAGTAGCTTGATTACGTATAGATCCATAAACTTGAGTTTATATATTTGGGAATGTATTTTAATACCCTAGCTCGTGCCCTGAATACCTTCTGTTTATTATAGTTTAGTCTTCTTGTGGATTGTAATGACATTATATTCAGTTGACGAACAATATTATCACCAATTGTTGAAAATAATATTCAGCTTTCTCAACCATATTGATTCTGTCCTATCTGCTTAATTGTGGTTCTCACTTCCATTTGGAGCTACAATGTTGTTTTTGGATAACTAGTATATAATAATTGTTTTCAAGGAATCGTAAGAGATTTAACAAGTAAATAATGAATTGGATAGCAAATCAAGTGATGTGCCCGATTTTAAAATTATGATGCATAAATCTTTTAACTTTTAGATACTAGCAGTCTAAAGTTGCCATAAAATGTGACAAATAGTGGAGGTTTAAATTTGCCAAAATGATAAAAAAATTGTGGCGGTCTACGACCTCCAGAAAGTTATAAATGTGGTGGAGGTCTATAAGTGACATTTGTGGGGGTTCGGAACCTCCAGAAAATGATATTACATTTGTGGCAGTTTGGAACCCCCAGAAAATGCAATATTTGTGGGGGTTCGGAACCTCCTGAAAATAAATAAACAAATTATGACGTTGCACACAAAAACTTCACAAAATGTGTTGTGGCGCATGCGAAATTGGAGATTTTTATGAATGCCACAAATGTCTTTTGTGGGGGTCAAAGACCTCCACGATTTGCAAATCTAACCCCCACAAAATACCTAACTTTTATAGTGATGGCTAATGGGCTTATGTGGAGTATATTACACATAATTAACTCTAAGTTCGCGTATTTTTTACTAAATCATTATTTTGCCCTCGATGAAGCCTTAAACCTAAAAATCAGTATTTTCACTTAATTAACCCTCTAATTATGCATTAATCTCCAATTAGTGTAATATAATTATTTGATTTATCATAATATGCACATTGAGCCATGTGTAGCCACCCTTTAATTAAGGAGAAAAAAATACCTCCAACAATTCTTCCCCTCTTTTTTTAACTTAATTAGATGAGGTTATTACGCTGGTATACTAACCCACACTTTTAAGTCTTGAAAACATAAGATGATTATGGATTGATTAGTAAGTTTTGTAAATTATTAATTAAGTCAGTTTCTATTGGCATTAGTGATCAGTTAATCATGTAATTTACATGATAATAAATATAAGAATACAATTCATGTCAAGCAAGTCAATTAGGACCTAAGAGAAATTATTAGAAAAGTTTGTGGGTCAAAATATAAATATGTATAAGTTTAGAGACTGTTTTGCAAATAGGTAAAACTTGGCCTAAACTTGATTTTTGATGGTATAATTAAATTGTTTAACAAATTTGGTGGGCGAAAAGTAATCTTGGTTTGTTCCAATTATGATTAAAAAAAATAATTAAAATGAGTCAAAGTTCATAAAAAAATCAACCAATAAGATGCATTTTAATTAAAAAGTCAAAGATGCATCTGTTTTTACACACAAGCTTGTCCAAGTCGGTTCTTACTCCTTTCTTTCTTCTTTTCCACGAGTCTTTATTCTCCTTTGAGTAGCCTTGGCCGAACCACAATTTTAAGGAAGAACAAGTTTTGTGCATGAATTTCTAGGCCATAAAACTCTTAGCTTTGTACACAAAATTGGAAGCCTTTGATCTTGTGAGTACCACCTAGTCTTTAGATTATTGAGAGGGGCTATTTTGAGTGAGATTATCCTTCTCTTTTCCATTGACCTACATGCTAGTTTGGGTATTTGGAATGAGCTTTTGAGTAGTTTGAAGTGTGGAGATTGATTACCTGTTATCGTGGAAGTTATCTAAGGTAAGAAACATCACTTCTAATGGTTGAAATCCAAGTTATAATTTTAGGTTTTCATGGTTTTGGGGCTGATTTGGGATGCATTTGATGATGAGTATATGATTTGTTTTGTTGATGGATGTTGATTGTTTGATAATGTAAAGTTGAATGATGCGTTTAAATGCTAAAGAAAAGCATGTCGGATTGTTGGAAATTTAAAGGGCCATTCAGCCATGTGGATGAAAAAGCATGAAAACCATATGTTTGATTGTTTGTTAATATGAAATCATAATTATTATGTAAATTTATGATGAAAGATGTGATGGAAAATTAGTAGAAGTTGTAAAAGAATTCATGGACATCAAAATGGGCGATTCAGCCAACATGAATGAAGTGGCCTTGGAATTGTGTTTTATTATGTTTATATGTTGATTAAGGTTTCTTGTATATGATAGGATTATGTGAAACATGAATTAGTTATATGAAGTTTGAGAATTTCATGAATTTTATTTGAATAGGCCATTCGGCCATCACACATACACACATATATATACATATGTGTGTGTGTGTGGAAGTTAGTTCAATATGACTTTGATGTTGAATGATGTCCTAAAGCATGATAAATATGATCAGGTTAATTGAATGGTGTATGAAAGTTTATAATCATGATGATTTCTTTCAATGTACAATTCAACCATTTCATGGAAAAGTGATCTAGGAAGCTTTGTAAATTCTATTGAATGGTAAGAGCTATTCCTAGTGGTAAGTTAAGGTAAATAAGGTGTGGAAATGTTACTTGGAATAAGTATCTATGATTGGATAATTATATGTATGTTTTGTAAGAACATGAATTAAATTGACTAGGACTTGTTTTGGCATGAATTGACTTGTCAATTATGATAAGAAAGTTTTTGGTATGGAAGGAACCAACCTAATTATGAATGTTGTATGTTGAATGGTTATGCCAAGTGTTGGACTTGATCCTAATACTTGGACCATAAGCCTTAATTGGCATTGATTAGGTTTGGTTGGTAAACTAGGTTGGAGACGAGCAATCTAGTGTTGGAAGATTAGTTGTTGGGAACTTGGAAGTAATTTCTTGAAGACCAAGTAAGCTTGATTTGGGAGCTTCGAGAGGTAAGCTCTTGGTTTCAATTTTTTTCTATCATGTTTGTTCCATCATGGTTTAATGGATTGTGGTTTGGATATCTGTATGTCTGTATATTTGATTTTGTTAGATACTTAGTATAGTTGCATTTATGTAGATAATGATATGTGACTGTACGATATGTATTTCTGATGACAATATCTCGTATGATATGTATTATGATGATAAGATTCCGTATGATATTTATTCTTGATGTCTTGATTCATGAAGATGAAAGTTATGTTATAAAAGTATATGATATGTATGTTCTGTATGATATATTATATATGGTATCCAGTTCTTGGCCAATGAACATATATTTGTGATACTCCAATGAATATTATAATGCCTGGAGATCTAGTTTTACTCCGTCAGTACTTTGTCGCTCAGAGATCTTGTTCTTCCAATTAGTACTATGATGCTCGGGAGATTTTGTTATTTATCATGAGTGCTCCAGTCCTCGGTTGACTCTGGTTACTTTGGAGGGACTTATGTCCTCAGAGATATCTGTCTGGACTATCCGAGTAGATATTTTAACTATTGGATATCTTATCTTAGTTATACTCTATTATACTCGATATGCTCTGTTATGTTTGTTATGTACTGATCTTCTCTGTAGAAACTAATGTTCTTGGAGATTTTGTTTGGACTATCTTATGGAGGAATATTACTTCTGGATGTCAATCTATTATTTCTGCTTACATGATGTCCTCTATACTCTATATCTGACCTTTCATGCAAGAAGTGAACTCTTGGATGGAGACTGCTCCATAAACCCAGAGTTTGCTGAAATTGTTAATTTCATCCCGTTTGAGGATATATTTCAGGTACTCCGACAGCGGCAAGATAGTTATCCTAGAGTAGGAGAATGGCTCAGGATTAAAGTATGCTTAGCTTTGGGAGATTTGATGAGATATTATGGGATTTATGTACATATGTTTTGTAGCATGACGTATGATCATGCATATGTATATTTTGATGTCTGTATTTGATAAATATGTATTTGTATGGTGTATTCAGTTATTTAATTTGGACTCTATTATGTATAAGTAATTATATCTGTTAAGATTAAGTATGAGACAGTTCGCATGGAGCCAAATTCTGTATGAATCCATGAAATTAGATTCTAGGTCAATTTGTTAGTGTAACAGCCCGTTGTACACCGGTATTATTAACATTAATTATGATATTAAGCGCAGTTACAATCACAGCAATTCATTTATAAAAATGCGAATAAACTTTTTCCGATTATTACGCGAGCATTTAAACTATAAAAAGCGTAATAATAAAAGTTGTGACTGTAACTGTAAAATCTTGCGGAATACTTATTTAAACTATTTTTATGTCTTACTTTACTTATTATAAGTTACTAAGGAGTTCCCATAAACCCACTTAGCCAATTTCTCAACTTTACGTTTTTACCTTTCCGAACATGGTTCACTAATTATTTTTCTGCAAACACACCGCTGAAAACCAGACTTTCCTCTCTAGTTATATTTTTTTCTTACTTAATTCCCTTTCTAAAAAGCTATCACACGCTTTAATCGGAGCTCGTTTGCTCCGGCTATCGCCGTTTGAAGTTGGATAAGCAAAACAGCCAACCAACCCCAAAACAGCTCAAAACATCACTCACTCCACGAAATACTACAGAAATTTCACTCATCCAATTTCTCTCAAATATTTATGCTACAAACTAGACACCTCAACATTAAATTTTATATATCATACGCTTAATTTGACTGAGAAACGAAGCGGGAATTAATTTCCCAAAAACTGCCAGAAACAGCCCCTGCATTAGGGGGTTCTGGACAGTCCGAATTCAATACATCCTACAGAGCTTCTTACAACCCAGAATTTTCTCATATTATAACACCATGTAGGGGACATCTCAAGCTTTAAAATGGCGTATGGAACGTCCCTATCGGACCCTTGTGGAGGGAGATATGTTCTCCCGAATTTCGTCTAAAATCTGCAAATTCTACAGAAAATTCGCCAGAGTTTCCTTTGTTTTTCCTAAAATCCCCAAATTTGCACAAGCTCACTAGTACCTCAAATGTACCTAATAATCTAATGGGTGGCACACACAAGGACCAACAATGCCTTGGGGTACTTACAACCCAACTCAATTTATATTTATTACACAACATAGCTCACTTTAAATCCTTAAATGGTTTCAATCAACAAAGTTCCTTTTCATGCATATTTTCAATATACAAGGAATCATAAACCTACAATAGGCCTAAAGCCCTTTCATCATAGTATATTATGCATTTCTGGTACATTTACAACATTCGACTTACAATTACAACTTCAACTTTAAATTACAATCTTCCAAATATTACAATTTCAATTACAAATCGAAACATAAACTTAAATGACATAACTACTAGACTTAGCCAAAAAGACATGAACAAATATGCTACTGATCTCATCCTACATACATATGAGATGTTCATGCCCTAAGTCTAGCCTAGGCCACATGGCCAACAAAATGCAAAATAATGAAATACTCTATCTAATCATCCCACGGGCTTCTTGCCCGCCGCTCCACTGCCACTGCTACCTCCTGAAATAGTGCCCCGAGACAGGGTGAGATATATGCATATATCTCAGTAACCCAGAGGTTCTGAAGAAAACTCCGCCCAATGGTTCACTTCGATGCATATAAGTAATATAAAACAACCAATTTCAAAACGGGACATAGCAAGGGATTTAGAGAAACTGAGGAATAGTAGGATATAAAATACGACGAAGCTGGAATGGTAGCTACCAATACCACGCAACGTCCTCGACATATAAGCCTACGGGTATCATCCAAGGTGTGTTCCAATAACCACAACCAAGGTATCCCTTCCATCCATATACACCCAAGACATTCCTAATGTGCTCCTACCCGGATGACACACCACGACCCTAGGTCAACTGGAACTCCCTCTCGGAGACCTATCCAGTGGAAGTCCGAAACTTCCCGAAGGCTAACTGTCTACTGGCCAGAGACTCGGTACATAAGTACCCACTGTAATGATGCATGCATGCTCATGCTGTTCTACACTACTCATATACACTTCCTACCATTACCCTCAACGGGTATGGTGGAACAGAAAAGGGGAACAAGCCCCAGTACCAAGAGGTTACCTTAATTCGTTCTTTCACTTAGCTCCGCAGCAGCTTATCTCACAACTTGGTACACAACAGAAAGACTACACAGAGGACATTCTCAATCACTCAAAATTCAAACAACACATGCTAATTCACAATTATACACGCATTGATCCAATCACTTACCTCAATCCACTTGGTCCAGGACCAAGGGCAATCCACCGATTCACTGTTCGGAATTCAAGTAGACATACGAAAACCTATACAACCATGTACAACCATCAGTATACGTCAAATTCCATCAAAACGAAAAAATCACAAAATCCTCCCTTTCCTCTTTGAAGGTTCGGCCAAATAGGTGTTATTTTGAGATTTATTTTTCTAAATTTTCTTTCTCATTTTATTACTCATCCTTAGGTTGCCAAGAGGCTAATTCAAGTGTCGTTTCACCGTTTTACGTCTTTTACGCATCGGTTTGTTTAATAATTCACTCTAGGTCAATTCAACACATAACACTTCCAATTATTTTTCTATTTGTTTTCCAACCTTCCAATCACCACACAACCCATCTAATTACCATTTAATTACACAACACATCATCCCAATAATTTTTCCAACACAATTCCTCACTTTCTCTAATGTGGCCGAGTTATGCCTTATGTAATACCAAAGGATTTCTTTCAATTTTTAACCATCAACATACAAGCATTCAACAACTCACCAATACATCCTAACACATTTCCAAAAATCCAAGTCATAACCACCAAAATTTCTCTAAGTTAAAAATCCATTTTTTTCACCTAAATTTTTCATGGCATTTCTAGCTTTAATACATCATTCTAAGGCATTATCATCTAATACATATCTTCCATTTGAGCTCTCTAACATAACACATCAACAATCAAAGGTTTAGGGTTCAAAATCAAATCATCACATTCAATCGTTTAAAATGCAAGAACACTCACCCAAATGGAAGGTACAAGGCTTCTACTAACTATACTCTACCATTGGAGCACTTGGAAGCTCCAAGAACATGAATTTTCTCCCCAAAACCGCGGCTGAAAATGGGCAGGATCTCCTCACACAAACGATTTCAAGGCTCAAGAGTGGTACCAATGTGTTTAGGAGGTGTTTTTCATCAAGATTCAAGACAAAAATCGTTGGATTTGGTTAAGGAATGGCTAAGTTATGATTAAATTAAAATTTGCACAATAATGAGGGGGGAGGGGGCTGTGTGCGTGATTTGGTGGGAAAGAGGAGAGTGAGATGATGATGAATAGTGGAGTGGTGAGGTGGCTTAAATGAAGCTTAAGTGGGTGGGTCCCACGCAATTTAAAACTCATCCGAATTTTCCTCGGATTTCCACTAAACGTCCATAAATTCAAAACCTATTTAGAAACTCTAATTTTTAACATTAACCATCCTCCTTTAATTATACTTGATCAGATGAATCCGGAGTTTTCCGGTCGTTCGGAGAAAACACTGTTTTAAGCTGTTGCGCGCGGCGTTGGCACACTTCCCCAAACTGACTTAATTCCATCAAATATTATCAAAAATCATATTTCCTAGCTCTATAGACCATTTATAACTCATATTTGAAACCTAGAGCTCAAAATTCAACTGGCACATTTTACGGTGCAATCGTACCGCGGTATTTTTACCCGGTAAAAGTACTATTCTATGATTTTTTCTGAAACTTGCCTATCCACTCAATTTTTCGTTCTGAATCCATTTCCAGGGTTATTTTTATCATCTGAGACCTTCTACTCAATTTTTATCTTCCTAGGGTTGCGGTTGGCTAATTACCATTTTGCCCTTTCTTTGTATTTTGGCCTAATCTTTAGGATTTTCACTAATTCTTCACTTAATTACTCACTTAATACTTTAACTACTTAATTTAAAATTGTGAGGTGTTATAGTTAGATTATTTGTTATTGTCTGTGCTGGATTTTTTTTAGTTTTAGGATTAGTCAAGAAGTGGGATTTTTCCCAGGATTGTCCAGTTTTCAGCGGTTATACTGTCCATAAGATTCTATCCGGAATAGTACGTTATCACATTCGGATAGTCATTGACTGTTAATTATGGTCACATGATTATTTAGTAAGAGTTTTGTACAGGTATGAGACTGTACAATTTAAGTTAATACAAAAAATTAAGTTACGCATGATAATGAGTTAGGAAAAGTAAAAGTAAAAAGTTAATTCACCGTAATACATAAAGTAATAGTGATAATTAAGTGTAAGTTTTCCATTTAGGAATTTAATTATGCTTCATTTTTGTATCATATGTATTTTAACAAACAGGTTCGGAACAGAGTGTTACAATTATGGTATCAGAGCAAAGTTCTAGGGAAGAAATCTAGTATGATTGATTAAGAAAGATTATTGCTTAGTGGTTTCTAGTGTTTGACATGATGATGCACTACTAGATACAGAGTATGAGTTTAACTGACTCATTCTTTAGTATGATGATTATAGAATCATGATAAATATCGGGATACACTTTGACAATTCTCCTGAGATATTCAGTATCATGAAGAGGATAAAGCATGTTTAAGAAAGGATTTTATAACAGTTTGGACATCAGGTCAAGTGTAAGTAACTGTTATATGTAACAGCCCGTTGTACACCGGAATTATTAACATTAAGTATGATATTAAGCGCACTTACAATCACAGCAATTCATTTATATAAACGCGAGTAAAATTTTTCCGTTTATTACGTGAGCATTTAAAACAATAAAAAGCGTAATAAATAAAAGTTGTGACCGTAACTGTAAAATCTTTGCGAAATAATTATTTAAACTACTTTTATAACCTATATTACATCTCTCAAGTCACTAAGGGGTTCCCATAAACCCACTTAGCTAAAATCTCACTTTTACGTTTTCTACCTACCCGAACATGGTTCGGTCTTTAATTTTCTGCGGACAAACCGCATACGACAAGCCTCCCATATTTTAGTATGTTATTCTAGACTTAATTACCTTTC